GCGCAGCTTCTACTATCCAAGTTGTGCTGTCCACAATTATTGTGTTAAAAAAAAAAATGGTTTATTCTCCTTTTTTTTCTTACTGAAATATGATTTTTATGTGCTATGAGGAAATTGTAGGCTTTCATTCTTCAGGTTTTTATTATTCTGTATTTTAGTGGTTTCAACTTTATAAATAAGGAAAAGGCACATTTATGAAAGTTATAGTTACATAGTCCCTGTTTTCATACCATCTCAGATGATGCAGCAGTCTTTCTAACTGTGCATTGAAATCAAACCATTGGTAACATAGTTGAAATAATTCAGTATTAATCAAAGTATATGCTATATAAGCAAATTACAAAATATTTGAGTTTAAGGTTTGCTTGACCTTTACAGGTAGCACAATATATCCTGTTGTATTCCATAATCAGCTTTTAGGAAAAAGACTTCTGCATGTATATATTCACAAGAATATATTTTGACAAATCGTAGAAGCACCAGTATTAAAGGCATTTTTACTACTGTCTATTGTCTCACTCAATTGATGTTTGCTTTTAATTTTTAGCCATAATGTGAATTATTTAGCACTGACAAGAAGATTCTTTCTGTTAACATTTATTCACACATTTGATAGCCACAGTTGTTAACTCACAGCATAAGCTTAGTGACTTCTGTAGCCTTTGGTCAGCCAGTAGAGGCCACTCATAGCTTGCTGCTGAAGCTGGGCGGTGATTTAAAAATGGGGGGTTTGTTGCGGCATAGCTTTTTTAATCCACTCTGAGCAAGCTTATGCTGCTCTGAACTGTCAGAGTATAACTTGTACCTGCAAAGAGTTCTGAGTTATTCTGCTTATATATGTAAATGCATTTAATACTGACAGTTTTTCTTTTTCCTGTAATAAGTCCTTTGGCAGTAGGAATAAAAATCACCTTCAGTATCATACCTTAATCAGTTGAAAGGAAATGCTTTGATGACATCCTTTGTTGTTGGTACAGTCTTTACTGACATTATATTACATTAATGAAGTAAGGAAAAACTATTACAGATTACAGAGACAGGTCTTGTTTGTATGGGGGTTTTTTTGAGTTCCCCAAATGGGGAGCTGAGCTGTAGAAAACAACTTCCCAAGGTCAAAACTGCAAGCCTGCAGCAGAGCAAAGAATTGAACCTGCATCTCGGGTCAAGGCTAGTATCCTAATCAGTGCTCTGCTGTTTCCTCCTGTCTGTATCACTGGGTGGGTAACTTGATGATAATTTTACAAGTAAAAACATGATGTCAGTATTTTAGATCGTTCTTAACTAATAATTCTTAACTAACACAGTCACAGCACTACTGAAATCAAAATCCTGTTCACTTAGGGGAAACTACGATGTCACCCTAAGAATAAGTTTTATATCCAAACAGACAGCTAAAATATAATAAAGAGCTTTTATATGCAGCATATTGCTACAGGGTTTAATTAGTAGCTCCCTGTACTGAAGGAAATTCAGTTTCATTTCAATAAAATTTGTTAAATGTTAGCTATTTACAGAGTAATGAAGTAGCAAAATTTTGGCCATTGTTTTGTTACCATAATACAGTTGTCTAATACAATTCAGAGAGCTGCCCTCACCATTTTACTTAATATAGAACATTGAAGTAGTGGTACTGTGTGTGTGTTTGTCCAGTCCTGAGGAACTTCACCTTTTATCAAGCAGCTGTGAGCTGCTGTTGGAGCAGTGCTGCCACATAGTATTATTTCATATTAAATATTAGGAGTCTCAAAAGAAACTCTCCTACTGACTGCCTTGCAAGTAGAACACATACACTTTCTGCTTTACCTGCTGCTTTTTCCATAGGCCAAGTAATTTTTTTCCATTATCCACTAGTATTTATTTTCTCTGTTTTAATAACTTCTCCACTGTTACCATATTACATACCTAAAGGCAGTATGTATGTACCAATGTATATCATTACAATGCATCATTAAACTTATTCTGTTACCTATTCTATAGTATATAAAAGCTAGTGTATGAAAAAGATTTAGGACAAAATGTGGATACTTTCTGCTAGTGTTGCTATTTAAACAACCGTGTTTACATCCAGGCCAGTCTCTTTTCAGTAGTCCTTTTTGTTTTACATTTATAATTATCTTAAAAGCAGCTGAGAAAAACTCTGTTATAGTAAAGATTTAAAAAGTAATTCCCTGTTTTGCTTTGAAACATGAGATTTAAACCTTCCCTGTTTCTCTGAAAGAGCAGTGCTCAGTAGCAGAATTTTCTTTTAATCTCTGGTACCATAGTTTTTCTTTTCTATGTGTTAATCATTCAGTAGGAAACTGTACATGAGGAGAGGTATTTTGATCAGTTGTGTGAAAAGAAATGTAGAGAAAACTCTTTAACAGTCAGTGAACCATGGCTAGGTGAAGACTTTGTGGAGTTTGAGCATCACTTAAAGGTAACCTCTACATTCAAGATGTGCTTCTCTGGAATGGTCAGTTTGGGCCCTTCAGCAAGAGTGTGCTTGTAGAAGGAATAAAAATGTAACGGTAATGTCAAGCTATGGCAGTGATTCAGTAATGTATACTGTGAAAGCTGGTTTTATTTTCTTAGTTTTCTATGCTGCTCCAAATCAATTGCTTCTCTTTGCTGTGGAGACTCAACAGATCTTTGGAGTAGATTTTTCTGGCAGTGAGGTAGCTAGGAGATGAAGATGAAGATGGGTATTAGGTTTTGCTTTGGCTTTTGATACCCTAGATGAGTTATACAGACAGAAATTCATTAGCATTAGTGTACAATAATCAGCATTCAGTTTTATGCAAAGATGTCTATTTATGCATTATTAACTTTAGTTTTATAGATATACTGTCGCTGTTTGGTTAACTGAAGCGATCTGGGGTGTGCAAGAGAAACCTGGGCAGTATACTTTGATCAGTCATAACTGTATTCCAAGCAAGTTCATATTCTCTTATAATTCAGTGGAAAAACGTATTTCTGTGGTTTAGATATTAGTTTAAAACTGGCAATTTATCAAGTGATTTTTCTGGAAATTTCCATGCTTATTATATTTCAGATTATGTATTTTGAGTAAACTGGAAACTTAAACTTGTTTCCATAAGTGTGGCTGCAAGTAAACAACCAATTTTAGCCTAGAAAATAGCTTTTGCTTCTGTCAACATGTTGTTTATTTTCTCCCTGAGATAAAAAGTTTAGTTTTCTGATATTTGTACCAAGATAAAGTCTGTAAACAAGATTAATACAGTGTGGAAAAGGTTGTCAGCAGCCCTGGCAAAGGAAATAAGTTGCCTCTACATAGAACATACTGTAAACTGAATAAAAGTGTCAGGTCCACCATGAGATAATGTGATCATGAACCTCTAACAAAGCATGACATAGGCACAGTTGGCTTTTCTTATGGCCACAGTGTAGAAAATGGATTACTATATTCCAGGGATACCCACTGGAATAGCATGAAAACCTCATTTTGAGATTAATGCAGGATGTAACTCTCAAGAGCTGAGCTACATGTTTACCTATAGTGTTAAAGTAACAGTTTAGTTATTAATCTTAAAATTTGGAAAATATATATTAAAATACTTGTTAATTTTTCTACTTTATGAATTGACATTTCTCTTTCTCATTATTAGGTGAACTATGACACTGAGATAGTAATATTTGGTTACTGTTTTATTATTTCGTTATGACTTTACTATTATATTATGTGGCTCTGTAAGGTCTCAATAAGTCTAATCAAACAGTAAATTCCAAAGGCAGGTAAAGCTGTACGTTTTCTTCTTCCATGTAGCTGCCATGATTTCCTCTACTGGAGATTTGTATGTTTTCATAGATTTTTCTGCAGTAAGGTTTTACCAATTCCTTTCAATCACCATCAGCCCGAAAAATGACACCACTTTAGGGTTTCTCAGTTCAGCCCCAAGTGACATTCTTCAGGTCAAAGGAGCCGATTTTGGTCAAATACTTTAACCACGTAGAACTTTCAAATTATTCAGTGAGTGTCCTTGAAAGTTTTCAAGACTTGGAGCTTCAACTCTTCTGGCTTTTATCCATTATGACACCAGATGAGTAGGGACTTTTCCCTTTAAAAGTTGAACACATTGTTCTTCTCATGAAGAGTAGGCTGCTTTTATCTGTGAATCTTCTGCCTATGTACTTTTGGTAAGCCTGAGCCATCCAGATGTATTACTGAGGTTTTGTGGTCTCCTTTCAAAACCGGCAGAGCATCTGACTTCATTCCCACCTCTGGTCGTTTACTGACAATAAAGATAACTCCCAGGAATTGAAAATTTCTTCCTGTGTTGTTTCCAACAGGAATAGTTGGTTCTTCAAGCATGAGTTTCATCAGGAAGTCTCATTCTGCTGCTTTTACCTACCTGTATGTGCAGACAATTTAAGCAGATTGTAAAAATAAAAATAAAGCTCTTTTTATGCATTCTTGAGCAATACGAAGAGTATAATCATCTGTTAAAGTCTGCATGTGCTATCATGCATTCTTAAGTTCATTCTTCAGTTGAGAATATTACAGTTTTTGCTTTCAGTATATATAAAGCACTAGACAAGGACTACAGTACAGCATGGTAAACAGTATTTTATCTTTGCTTTCTCTCCTACATCAATGTGAGTATCAGAAGCTTTGTGCTGGAATACAAAGGTTGAAAGGTTTTTAATAAACTTATTGCTGTATTATCCATAAGTAATGAATTTCAAAACATCTAACTTTCATTTTTTGAAGATAAAATCCTTTGTGAACTTTTCAAAAGGAGCTTAGGCCGCCGACATCTGTCAGTGTCTGATGTCTGACATCCAATCAGGCTTCCACATAAAGGATTTTGGGAAATCCTGCATAGTACTTCCTGCATTCAGATTTTACTTAAAAATTGCAGCTATTTCTAATTGCATTTACTGTCTTTAGTGTACTGTGTCTGGTTTATATTCAGTATTTCTGATGTTTTCTTAATAAACAATCACTGTGTGTACGTGATGCCTCATGATTCAAAGATTTGTTTTCTTTTTGCTGTTAGATAACTCCAGGACCAGGTGGTAGCAGGAAAACAGTTCACATGTCCCAGGATTGTCTTCACCATGAGTGAGTATCAGTGATGGGAGTTATAAGGGGATTTTTTAGTAGTAGTAGTAGTAGCAGCAGTATTAATATTATTGCTATTATTACTATTATTATTGTTGTTGTTTGATTTACAGTATTACCTCTGTCCTGAAGCCACATTTTACAACTGTACAAACATGATAAAAGAGCCTGAACTCAGTTACAATCTTTATTTTTATTTAATTTTTAATATTTATATTTAATTTTTTGTATTTATAATAATTATAATAAATAATTTATAATAATAATGTGAATTTATAATAATTTTGTGTTTCTTAAGGAAACGTGAACTTCGGTGCTTTGTAAATATGCTTTTATTAACTTAGTAGGTGTATACTTTCCTAAAATGCAGCCTTTTTAAGGCTAGATAACAAATGCAGGGTTTTTTTAAAATACCTGCTTTATTTTTCTTCAAAGGGAAATTCAGAAATACCAAGCCTGCATATATGAAAATGAACAAGCATCACATCTTTGAGTCTTAAACATGATGTATCATGAGAGGAATAAGGTTATGATAATTTCCTCAAAAAGACATTGAATTAGTTGTTTAGACACATGTAAACAGGGAATGTCATTCAGTTTGTTTAGTTACTCCAGTGTGCCATTATTGTAAACTCTTATTCTGTTCAGCTGACAACATTTAGTAACATTATTTCTTGGTTATCTCTTTTAAATAATTACAATAAGATTAAATTTTCTTATATTTTCCACATCAGAAATTTAAAACACAGACACACGTGATTAGGAAATAATATATTTGGGCATACATTTTTATGTTCCAACTTCTGTTAGAACCATCTACTGTTTAAAACAAAACTTGCCAAGGATCAGATACTACAAACAGCAAATCCTCAGTAACAAGTGTTTTATGCTACTGATGTACTTAACTTGCTAATGTGTGTGTTAACTGAAGCGGTTGTGATTTCATAAGTTATTTGTACCATAAAGTAATTCAGTTGGTATTTTATGGGGTTTACTTTTGTTGATTTTATTAAACAAACAAATAATGCTCTAAATAAGTTAATGGACAAAATCATAAAAATCAGCGTGGTGTGAATATCACTTTCTCATTACAAGAGGTCTTATTCTTTATGATGGTTTTTAATGTCTTAATATAAGAGGCATTCAAATTATTTCAATTCTTTTTTTTTTTCAGTAGAAATATGGTCTACTAATAATTTAGTCCGTGATGCACTGATTTGCCACAAACCAGCAGAGCTTATGCAGAGGATATCCCAGTTGCTGCTCTTCCTTGAGCATTTGCTGTTGACATTGCTCAGAGACAAGATACTTGTCTGGAATTTAGATCTAGCCCATTATATTTGTCATCTTCTTCAGCTTCTAGATGTTTGTGACTTTATTTGTTGGGTCACTCACAATAAAAGCTTAACAGCAGATAATGTAATGGGGTTTTTTTGCAGTATTTTAATGGCTGGAATTCTTTTATCCATTGCCCAAAACTTACTGCTTACATGAGTAATATATAGATGCAGTATGTAATTTCAGATCCCCCTTGTTTTGTTTTTTCTTTCTCCTTTTCATTTTGCAAGTGTCAAGATTTGCCTCCAGTTTGTATAACATTTAGTACAGCTACATTCAGATGTTAATTCAGTTCTACATGATCACAGTGTGTGTGTGAACCAGTATTAATATGCTTTTGCTGGTATTGAGAGAAGAGTCACATTGTGAGTTCTTGTCCCTGCATACCAGTGTGTCTATGAAATAAGGCTGCCAATACTCAGAATTGTGCAATTATAGAGAGATATTAATCCACAGAACTTACAGACTTTGAATTCACTTTATATTCAAACTCAAACCTCAGTTTTTTAAATAATGCAATGTAACTACCAGGTAGTCCACAATTCTTAAAGATCTCTTCAGCTGTAATCATTAATAAGTGGCACTTCAGCACTAAATATGTAATTGCTTTTATTTATAGCACATTCATTACAGTGTCTTAAAATACTATCATTTATATAAAACTTTAGCTTGTTCGACAAAGTATAATCACCTGTAAAGCCAATAGCTGCTCAGAAATGAAATTTGTGGTGCATTCTTTCAAAACTGTTATGGACTTAGAGAGTTCAATAAAAATATCCCATAAAAATAAAGCATAGCCAAAGGCTGTATTTTCCTGGCAGACAATAAAATACTCAAAAGCACGCACAGACTGGTCATATGACAGCATGTGCTTTGTTAGTTATATTGTTAAACCTGTCTTTTCTTTTTCTCCCACAGCCACTGGTTTAGCCCTGGGGCTAGGAAGGAACATAGCCAGGTAAGAACTGCTTTGATTGAGAACAGTTTACTTGAGATGCATAAAGGAATTTAACTACCTCTAGTCCAGAGGTAGTGGGCTAATACCTTAAGTTACTATAAACAAAACAGATACGATTTCACATTTTCCTGTAAGGAAGCATATTAACAGTAGCGCTTTTCAGAAAGTACCTTGATTAAAAATCTTTAATTAGTCACTTAATTCCAAATAAGTGTCTTTTGAGTTTTATCAAGTTCAGTGAAAAGTCTGATTTTTTTTTTTTTTGAGTTTGTCAATTGTAATGTCTCCAAATGTTGTGTTTCTCACAATGCTGGAAAGCAAAACATTTGACTCACAAAATCAAGAAATGCAGAGCAGTGACAAGAGCAGGCAGGCCTCTACGGGAAGATCTTCAATGCCATTTTTCTGCATTTCATTGGTTAAAACGACCACAGCAGTAAAAAAGAACTGTAAAGTCTCCATCATGGTGAAGATGTTGGTGAAACCATGCCACCAGTTTGTCTACTGAGTCCCTGCAGTGTAGTCCCTAGAAGGTCCAAGCCTAGAGATGTGGTAGAGGGAATGTGAAGGCATATTTAATATTTGTTTAGCAACATGGCACTTATTTCTTTAGTTTGTCTTCAGACATGGAGATATACCTTATTTTATGGGTGGTAGTAAGGTCTAAACAGAACATACTGTCCAGGAGCTATAAAATGTGGAAGTAAGTCTGGCTTTATTTCATAAATGTAGACTTAACTTTAACTATTCAGTAAAAGTAGCTGAATATATCATCACTGCATTGAAATTTAAGACTAAAGGTCCATAGATATTGGAATGCTACTATGAGGTCTCCATGCAGCTTCTCTTCTCCAGACTGAACAACCCCGATTTTCTTAGCCAGTCTTTGGGTAAAAAATCATGACTACCTTTAAATATGAATTTTAAGTGATCTCATTCATTGATGTTAAGAAAATGGAAATGTTATTTTACAAAAATATATCAGAATAAGGTGCCTTACCTTTATATAGTCTTCAGATTGCCTTTGAAAACCAGACTGGACAATTTTACTGCATCTGAGAACTAGATAGTGGAAATTATGAGGAGCATTCCTTATACAAGCAAGCTAGAGCTGGGTACAAATTAATCAAATGCAATTTTATAGTTAAGCGTAAATTTTTTGGAGTCCATACTCATGTACAACACATTGGCCCATCATAAAGTTCATAATTTCCTAATTATCAGTGGACTTTTAAATGTGTTTGCAGTAAATATTAGGTCCATTTACCTGTAATCTGCTTCTAAAACAGTCTTTCAGTCTATACTTTCTTCAATATAGATTCAAGAAATATTTGTAGTTTTTATACTGTCTAGTTTTAGTTTCTTTGGTGTAAATTTGACACTACAACACAACAACAGTAAAGTTGTTCTTTACTGTCACTGCTGCTTTACTCATGCTGACAAATATAATGCTGGAAATAGATTTCTCAGTATTGGAGATAGTTTGAATGAAAAGCCGTCCTTGTCTAAAAATAAATAAAAGAATAAATAGGAGCTTGTTTTAGAAGCTGAGTCACCATTTCAGTTAAATGAATCCTTCATTATTCCTGCTCCCCCGCTATTCTGGGAAGCTTTAATACCCTGGTTTTGTTAATTCTGCAACTTCCAAATTACAAAAGCTCCTGGGGCTCAGAAGAGTTTATAACTGTTTCATAACTGCTTAGGTACAAGTGCCAGCCTGAATAGTTTTTCATAATTTAAGTGTTCTTCAACATATTTAATTATGAAATTTTGGTAATTGAAATTGTGAAAATCATAAAATTTTACAGATATGTTGGTTGTGAAATTGTGAATTGCATATTAATATGCTTTGAGAATGATTTAATTTTTACATGTTCAATTACTTGGTGGATGTATCCTGAAATATTCTCTGTTACTGTAAAATCCTATTAATATCCACCCCTTTTAGAGTCTTGGGGCAAAACTATTGATAGATTACTTAAGAGGAGAAAGAATGGCATTGCCAAGATAAAATCTCTAGAAAGAAATAAGGGCTTTGTTTGTGAGACTGTTACGAACTTTCTTTTTATTAGCTTCAGCTCCTGCGAGACAACCGCTCAGAGAGAGGACACAAGAAAAACAGCTCTGTAAAAACAGCAAGCAGGTAAGTTAATACTGCAGCAGTCATTAATACTGTGCATTAACTTGTTGACTTTGTTACTCAACATTTTATATAGAAATTACACCATTCTTCTGAGGTATTTTGAGAGATCTTTTTTGTGTGATTTTGTTGAAAGGATTTCTTTTATATGACGTAATCTTTGCCTAACATGGGTATTAGAATTTATTGGTGACTATATCCAACTACACTGACTAAACTTAATCGCTTTAGTAAACATCAGAATTAAGTGGATGCCAAAGTAAGGTTTGTGCTTCTGGCATGTAAGTTAATTGCTGAAAATGGATAAGATCACCATTATGCATACATGGTTTTAAAATCAAGAACATAACTCAAATGCTGTAACACTTAAATTGTTCTTATATCACAGTTTGACAATAAAAATGTCATTGTGAAGACTTATTAAAAACAATTCTAGTTCTATGCTCCAGCTTCTTTCCACCCCTTCAGAAGCCAGAATATTCAGCGCTGAACTGATGGGCACTGCCCTAGGAGTCTGTTTCTAGAGGAATATTTTATTACCCACTGAATCTATTCTGCCAAATAATTATTTGATTGTAGGTTTGTTTGTTTTAAACTGGAAACCACAGAAGTATTTCCTTTGTTATGCACACACCTGACATGATTTTTATTGTTCTGTAAAGATGGCAGTGTGCTATCAAATTACTTTTTGAACAAATTTACAACAGATTTATATATTCCGGTTAGACCTAAGGAAGAAGTTCTTTACAGTGAGGGTAGTGAGGCAATAGCACAGGTTGCCCAAGGAATTTGTGAATGCTCCATCCCTGGCACAGTTCAAGGCCAGGCTGGACAGTGTTGAGCACCATGGTCTAGTGTGCGGCAAATCCCTGCCCATGGCAGAGGGTTGGAACTAGATGATCTTAAGGTTCTTTCCAACCCAAACCATTCTATGATTCTATATCATCATGTAATATGATGGTTTTGAGACGCTTGTCTTTCAGGCACTTGTCTTTTTTTTCAGGATGATCACATATATACTAAGGTTTTTATACTGTTAAATGCTTGCTTTGACAAGTACCTGGAAAGGGAGACCAATACATCTTCCAAAAATATGTATATTAAATATTAATCTAGTTTATTGTGTATAAGTTTTGGTTACATACTCTAAAACGTTGGGTGTGCAAGTGTTGGTCATTCATCTTCAGAAATTTTGGTTATCTTCATTTATTAAACCTTGTATATTAAGCCAAAAAATTAAATCATATTTTTGCTCAGAATTTTAGAATGAGTTCAGTTTAGGTATGAACCTTCACCATAAATGCACTTACTATTTGGCTGCTTACAAGAAACTGAGAGTATAAAATAGATGAAAAGAGAGCAGTAAGAAACAGATCATATTTAAAGTCAGTTTAGGATCTTTTCTATACTGTAGCAATTTAAAACAGTGCCTGAGGAATTTGAAATCATAACTTTGGTGTTTGTTATTCTGACTCTTGGGAAGTTATTGCTACCTATACAAACAGTTGAATTTTCTAAAGTGGCATTAAATACCTGAAGTGATTTTCAGCCTTTCTTCATGCCCAATCAGCAATGCATTAGTAGACTGTTATCCCAATAAACATTTGGCAAGGTGGTATAAAAGCAATAGGTGGCAAATCCAAGACTGAAGACTGTCCTTTTCCATAAAGTAACTGTAATATTAAAGTAAGACTTACATAAACCATTGTTACAATGTACGTAAAACCACACTATCTTATAATAATGCAATACCATTAAAAACAGCAAGGTCACTTGCTAATGTTTCCTGGTACCATCATCTCTGTTTTCAAAGGCTTTTTCCTCTGGATGGATTCAGGTTATTTCAAAATAATTATTTGTGCTGTATATCAGAAACCCACAGTTTTCTCTGCCTACCACAGAAACTTCATTGATAGTTCTTTAAAGTGGCTCAAAGAAAAATTCTCAGACTTCTATGATAATGATATTTTTAACAGGCCATCTGCTGTCTTAGAATATCAAATCATATGCATCTTATTTACAAGGTATATACTGAGCAAACTTTAACATCCTTTCTACAGTTTAGCTGTTGAAAATAAGAATTTAATTTGCACAATGTGCAAACATCTTTCAGGCCAGTCGCATGCCTCGTGACTACTTTCTCCCTATAGTTTGTGATCTATAATCTAATATTTTGCTTTTTATCAAAATCTGTTACAGTCAAAATAGGTAATTTCAGACATATAAGAACAACACGGGACAATTACATATGTTCATAGTACCTATCCTCATTTGATTCAAGACAATTTCTCTGGGAAGGTGGTTGGAGCCAGATGATCTTTAAGGTCCTTTCCAACCCTAACCACTCTGTGAATCTCTTCCTTACAAAAGAAATTCATAGCGCATAGTGACATATTTATCTGTGGTTAGTACTGAAAGCTGATTTTCTTGTGACTTAATTTTAAATCATCACTTCTACCAAAAGGGTTAATCTTACTTTCAGCAGGCAATACAGAGAAGGAAAACGTGTCCGCTTAACAAGGTACCCATAGAAATTACTGGTTTGATAGCAAATTATGTTCACAGAGTTAATAAAATGGTGAACATCAGCTCATTTGCAAATGTTCATCTTCATTACTCTGTATGAAATCTTAAAATGGAAATCTGTCATTTAGATTTTTACATGGGCCCAAATACTTTAAAACCCAGTAAACTGAGTTTAATTTGGTAAACAATGATACCAGTCAAATGTCACAAGGTGAAGTTACAGAATTAAGTAACTTTGTAAGAAATCCTTCATTATTTTTGTGTGCTACATGCATATGCAGTTAAATCATCTTTTAAAAACAAGTGTTTACTCACACCTGAAAGTCTGAACCTTTCTAAAATTGACTGTAAATTAGTTCTTGCATGTGTTGAACTATTACAGTTGACATGTCAAATTCAGGTGAACAACCCCTTAAAGAGGCATACATAAAGTAATATCTGTGACCTTATATTGTCTCACTGTTTGCTGCTAAATGCAGTGATAGAACAGCAGCGGCAGATAAGTATTGGACATTCTATAAAATTATTGTACTTTTCCGTAATAAAGTTTAATCTGCTTTTATTGCAAGACTGAGTTTCTCTGGGTCTTTCTTTGTATAGTTTTCACACAACTTTATTAGTTTTCTGTCCTGGAAGACCTTTTATCTGGTTTTTGTATGTGTAAGACATACATATGTGCACACATGTTTTTCTATGCTTTCCTTGACTTTTCTTACCCATTTTGGATGGCTGAACCCAATTCTTGTCTCAGCATGTAGACAACATGTAAATACCCATATTACATTAGATCAGTCACTTGTGGAATAATTTACTCTGCAAATGCATCAGAAAGGTGTGTAGCTCTAAGCATTGGTAGTTGTCTGCAGCTGTCTGTGGTGGAATAATACTGATACTTTCTGGGTGAGTTTTACTATACTGTTGCTTGTCTTAGGCTTCTTTTGTCAAAGTTAATAATAATGAGCCAGTCCTCTATAAACTAACATGAACTTTTACCAGTGGCAAGATAATTGGATTGTTGAGAACTGTTGATATGGCTACTCATGAACCAAGGAGGGGGACAGTCCTGCACCACAAAACTTAGAACCTAGATAGATTATGTTGTGCTGATGCACATTAGCATTTGTATTCTTCTGTATCTGACATATTTAAAGATATACATCTATTTATGATACCTTTACAGATAAAGCTTAATCTAAAAAGATGTATTTTCCCATTATTTAAATTATATAACCAGTACTAAATAATGCTGGTTTAGAAGCTGCATTGATTTTTCCCTTATAGCCTTGAAAAAGTTCTCTGTTTACATTATCTCTGAATTAGGACAGGAGCAATCCCCTCCCCAATCCAGCTACACTGCTTTAAGGTGTTAATTCTTCCTTGTTTTCACTGTACTCTTTCACCACTAAAGAAGTTTTCTTGTCTGCATGTTTTAATATGCTTCAGACAAAACCAGCCTGGTTAGCTCAACTCACCTATTTAAATTAAATTGGCTGGTTTTGTACAAACCATATTAGTGAGAGCTCACATGATTTCTTCCTCCAGCAGAGCTGTGGAGATGATAATCTCCAGCAGATGTGTGATAAAAAATAGCTTGGAATAGTAATGTCTTCATCTGGCACAGTTGTTAGCAGACCAAATGTCTGTCTGCAGCCCGAGGCTGTGGGCAAACAATTGACTATGATTGAGTTATGGTGAGTTAACAAGTTGCTGCTTGGCAGCTGAACTGCCATAGCTGATCATGCGCTTGCTGTTTGCCTGCTATGAGGTAAAACACAGTATCTGAAGTCACCTTTGTAAAATGTTACGAAAACGAGTCCTACCTAAAGAAGATTCCCCAAGGCTATGAGATTCTGTTGGTCAGCAATGGAGACAGCACTGAACGGTATTTAGCTGAGCTGCTGTAACATGATTTTGAACATGTGATTATATTATTAAGTATATGGGGCACATCCATCAAACAACTGTCTGCCTGTCTCAATATTTAATGTATTTATCCTCACAATACCCTTATGAAGTTAGGAAGTACTTTTATTCTCATTCGACAGAATAACCGGAGTACTTAAGCAACTTCATATTTTGCCCTTGGTCATACAGTTGTTGCCATAACTGGTTAATATATGCTGTAATATAAAAGCAAAAGATTTGCAGATTGGGGTAACAGCAGACTACTGAATAAGTTAAGCTTGTGTAATTATTTCTTCTACTGTTCATAATGGCCTTGTATCATAGTGCTTTTGCAGTATGTTCCTGTTAAGTATCATTAATTATTTTATTTACATCTTCTTTTTCTTACTGTACTGTCAGTAGAATTTATGGCACATGCATGAATTGAGAAACTGAAAAGAAAACAGTGCCCATATTTTCACCACTTATAATTTGGGGGGGGATCATATCTTGATAATTCTGTGTTGGCTTTCCAAACACAAATGCTTCCCCATAAGTCTTTAAAACAAAAAGCAGCTATTTGTACTTCTTAC